GGGCTAGCTCACCACCCTGATCCCTGGATCTGGCCAAATTGCTCTGGCTGTCCTGTTCTTGCCTGGGGACCTTAGGTGGCCTCAGAGGCTCACATGGGTTAGGAATGGGTGGGCATCTTGGAGACTCCACTGGGGGGTCCATCATGGCTCTCCCTGTGTGTCCAGAAGCCAGAACAGGTCCTGGGGAGAATCACGTGCTTGGAGAGGGAGAGGGTGACGGGCAGGGGATTCTCCAGGACATTCTCCTGGACCTTCCTGCATCTGCTTCACCCCCGCAAAAGCCCCAAAGCAAAATAGACCCTTCAGGTCAGCGAGGGGTGGGCTTCTCTAGAGGGAGGATGCCGGGTCTTCCCAGACAAGCCACCCCACAAGTGCATTTCCTGGGGTTCCCTGGTGCAGGAGGTTGGTGGAGGCTGCGGTGTGCCTATGCCCCCGTTGTTTACACTGAGCAAATGAGTGACTGTCACTCCACAGAGGGACAGTGAGGCGTAATTGGAGTCCTCGTGAGGTAATGACAGGGTTGGTGCCCACCCTGGTCCCGGTGACTGACAGGCTGCGGGCGCTGGGCGGGGACGCCCTTCTCCTTGCTCCGGTAGCCGCGTGGCCGTGGCAGGAAGGACACCCTTGTTTGGAAGTGATGTTCAAAGGTGAGGGCTGGGGTTCCTGGAAGGTCTGAGGCTGCGTGAGGATGTACCCAGGGCCCTGCAGGTCCTGGACCTCTCCTGTTCCTGAGCCAGTGGACCCTGGAAGGTTCCAGGTTCAGGGAACGCAGGGCTGCTTCTCTGCTTGCGAGGTCACTTCCGCAGTCTCCCAAATGCTCTCCTCCCCCTGTGCTCCCCATGCTCCGGTCGGCTGCCGGCTCTGCCAGTGGTCCTGGCCCTTGGTCGGGGGACGAGGGTGGAAGGAGCTGGCAAGTCCGTGCCCAGCTGAGGAGGCTCGGAGGGGAGCCCCAGCCACGGGCCAGGCCAGGGGCACCACGCTGACTGGGCTTCTAATGGGTCAGGCCTCTGACAGCCTTTTCAGTGACCTCTGACAACAGGACGGCTGTTGGTCGTGACCGCCAGCTAGGGTCAGTCTGGTCTTCGCAGGCTGTGTGAACCCGAGCCAATCACTTGGCCTCTCTGGGCCTATTTCCCAGGCTGGGGGGTGACTTTGCCTCTGTCTGTGCTCTGAAGTTGGCAACTTGATTTTTCCCGTTTGCAGATGAGGAATTTCATCATGCACAGAGCACAGACGTACCTAGGGCAGGGGAAAGCGCCCCATGATTCAGGGCCCGCTCTCTCAGGACGCTGTGGCCCCCAGCCCCTGCCCAGTGAGGGACAAACAGCTGCCCCTTCCTGTCTCCATGCCTGGGCAGGCCAGGCTCGGCTCAGGGAAGTCCTGTTGGCCTGGGTCCTCCTGGGATCCCTGGGCGGGCCCCGTCCTGGGCAATGACAGGGCATGAAGCACCAGCAGTGATCGCTATCTCGGGGCAGCAGAGGACGAGCCACGCCCGTGTGCTAGGCTTTGAGAAGACACTGCGGCGTGGGGCTGGCCTTCCTGACCCCTGTGCCCCTGGCCAGCCCCAGAGGGGCAAGGGCAGAGCTGCACCTCCCATTGCGGCCCGCTCACCTCCCCAAGGGGAAGGCCAAGGGCCCATGCTCTTTGCCTGAGGCCGTCTCACAGACGCCCCAGGCACCTGCCCCGCCCCGCTCTCCTGGGCTTATGCCTCCCTGCGGGTCACTGCCTTCTTCCTCGGGGGGTAAGACCACCTCAGGACGCTGGCTTCCTCGGTCGCACACCGACTGTGTCTTCTTGGCCAGGTAGG